ATGCAATGGCAGATGATGCTGCCTTGGAGATAACGGGGGAAGAGTTGGCAGTGATGTGTGTGAAGGATTTCCAGAGTCCCATCTACACCCCTTGGTCTCAGGTTGGAGGCTGTAGTGATGGGATTTACAGTGAAGGAGAATGACAGGCTTTGGGAGAATGTTGGTTTGTCTGTGTGGACATGAAGGGATGAAGACACCCCTAGAGGAAAACACCTTATGGAGAAAATATCTCATTGTGTGGAGTTAAGAGCAGCCAGAGGAATCACAACAGCTTTCTCTGGGAACTTTTCAAGTCCATTTCTGAGGCTTGGTAATGAAGTCTGCTCAGTGCTGGCACTCTGGCAAGGCTGGAAGAGAGAATGGCACTAAGGAATGGGTCTGCTTTACAGTCAGTGTGGGGAGGCTTTGCACCCCTCTTGAGAGGCTTCTGGGGGATGAGTGGAGGGCAAGAGTCCTCCCTGCTCACAAAGGAAGGGATCTCGGAGAATCCCACCTGCAGTTTCTTTGGCGTGGCTGGAAAATGCTCTGGAGAAGCTTCACTGGCAACCACTGTAAGCAAGGAGAGCTTTTGCAGCTCCCTGGTACTGAGGTCAGGACACGGCCAGTGGAACAAATTTTAAGTGGTTGTCTGGCCTTCCCTGAGAAGACGAGGAAAGTGTGTGTGTGTGTTGGGTCATGCTGCTGCCAGCTGCTCCAGCTTGTCCTGGCACTTCCTCCATTCCACCGTGCCATGCTCAAGGAAGGGAGTTTCCAGCCTGGCTCAGGTAAGCTGGCTGAGGCTTTCAAGACAGATGCCACACTTGAACTTTGAGATGTGAGCAAGTCTCCCAGAGAAGGCAGGCTTAGGCTGTGCCTGGCAGAGGATTAACAGGGATTTGTGAGTGTAGATCAAAGAGCTGCGTACAGAGCAAAAAGTGAGTTGGTCCCAGTTCTCTTCTCTTGGGAAACTTGTGCCTCTCCAGAAGCAGCTCACCAGCCTGTGGTGGAGGCCTGGACGGAGAGGGGAAAAGGTGTGCAACTGCAGCAGAGACTGGTTTGCATTTGAGAGTCATGCCAACCAGAGTCCACGTCTGCTGTGTCCCTGCTGTGCTGTGTTTCCCTAAATCAAGCTTCTCCTGGTTTCCTTCCTTCCTTTCCATCTCTGGAACCTCTTTTCCCATAAGCCCAGCTCAGTTTGTGGAGTTCAGTGATCTGGCCTTGATCCACTCCTGATACACTGTATTTCCTCACTTTATCTGCTGTGTGCTGCTTTTGTTGGCAGTGCTCAGTTATCCCACCTTGTGTGCCCTCTCTCTTGTTTGCCAGCTTCTGGGAAGTGGGATGTGCTGAAACACTGGAATTTGGCATAGGACTTTCCTTGGGTTTCTCTGGAAATCTCAAGGGGAAATACATTCCTCAGCCCTAAACACTGCCTTATTCTTTCCTTACAAGTAAAGAAGGTAAGTTTGTGCCGCACCTAACACAGGGGAGCTGTCATCTTCCAGGGTCTGTGGTGCAGAGGGTTGCAGGGGGATATAATCCATCCCTCCAGGCTGGCTGGTGAGATTCCCCATGGCTTTGGGCTGCCCTTTGGCTCTCTCAGCAGGTGGAGTCTGCAGGGGACTTGCTGGACTCTCTGGAGAGGTATGTCAGTGTTTGCCAGGAGATAACTGCATTCCAGGGAGGGACTCTTTTGTCTTGCTAAAATTGAGGAAATCTGATCAAAGTGCAGCCTTGCTTTAGACTTTTTCTCTTTCTTTTTGACTTTGTCACTGACCTACATATTGAATCCTACCACAGTGGTTGGAAGTAAGTGAGAGTGTAGTGTCAGGCTATTTACCAAGCTGTTCACTTGAAAATAACCTTACTGTGTCCAGTCCACACCTGTTCTGGGATAATTTTGGAGACAAAGAGCAAACCATCGTTAACCCTTTCATCCACATACAACCTGTTCAAGATCTAACAGCAGGGAGACATTGTACCTCTGCTGATGCCAGGAGGAATTTGTGACATAGGGTGTGCTTTGGTGTTGTTTCCCAGCTCTGTGGATTATTCCAACCAGCTGCTAAGGCCTGACTGGCTCTGTGTCCACATCCAAATGAGGACACTTCAGAGACCTTGTGAAAGCTCCTGCTGGGTGGTTGTTGGTTTGGTGTTGAGTCTGCTGGACCAGAGGCTATGCTGGAAAATATAAGTGTGGGGGGTGTGTTTTCTTTGTTATCCCAGTGGTTGTTTCTGATTAAAGGATCTGTTTTGGAGGGGCTGCAAGTCAGTTGCCTAAAAAACTTGCTTTCATTTAATTAATCGTGATGAGTTTAGTCTGGAGGTTTTGTAGAGCAGAGCAAGCAAGCATATCCTTGGCTTTTTCCCTCGGAGCAAAAATAAAAGCAAACAGGGTTTCATGTCTGAAACTGCAGCTCTTTTGTCTCCCCAGGTCGACATCCTTCTCTGTCCTTTGGGTTTTAATTTTACAAGCCATGCGTTTGCAGAGGTGGATGGAGTTTGAAGTCCATCCAGGTGTGGAATGAGGAAAGAACCCTCAAGAAGATTACAGGAGCTATTCTGCAACTCATTAACTCACTCTCTTCCCCTTCTTGTTATCTCCTCCCCATGCCTGGGGCCTTTCAAACTAGTGCTCTAAGTGCCTCTCACTTAATCTAGCCCACCTGGACAGGTGTATGAAGAAAGGAATTGCCTTCCGGGGAAGGACTAAAGGAGCATAGATTGCAGAGGGAGGCTGCTTTTGGGAACTGCTAATCCCAGTTTAACATTATGACAGCTGCTCGTTAAAATCAGGGTGTTTTTTAACAGGCAGTTAAAGGAGAGGCTTTGCACGCACATTTAGCTGAGAATAATAGTGAACCATGTGCATTTGATTTTTTTTTTTCCTTAAATCACGCAAATTGTACATGGAAAGAATTCTCCGGCGTCAACTTGCTGGGGTTTGGAATTTACAAGGTTTGCAGTAACATACAGTTTCCTGTTGAGGGGGGGGAGAAAATTACAAAGCTTTCTTTTTTTCCTTTTTTTTTTTTTTTTTTTTTTTTTTTTTTTTTTTTTTTTTTTTTTTTTTTTTTTTTTTTTTTTTAAGATGAAGTTCAAACCCGTCATACAGACCCAGCCTCTTTGGAAGGGACACTGAGTGCATTGGGGTTTTTCATTTGTCTCAGTGGCAGTTCATCATGTAAACTTGTCTGGGTTCTTGTTTTTATAGCTACATGTAAAGGCTGCTTATAAACTACAATTTTGTATATGGTGAGAAGGCAGCACGCAGATCCAATTTGGGAGAGCCTGTATACAAAGGAGGAAGCAGAGGTTTGTTTCCCTTGGGGAGATGGCAGTTTCTTCCTTGCTGAACTTCAGTAAACTTGGTCTATTAACATGATTTTCTCTGCAGGACTGTGGTGTTGGATAAGAAACATGAAGAGCTGAGGCAGAGGAGGGACTATCAAAGAGACATTTGGCTGTATTTTATATGAAATCACTGCAGACTTTACCAGCTGCCTCCCAGATCAGCAGTTATTTTGCTGGTTGATTTCTTGAGGGCAGTGCTGTGGAAGTAAGAAGCTGCACAGCTCCTACACGAGCCCCCAGATCCACTCGAGGAGCCGTGTCCTCTTCTGTCAGCCCTTAGGCATGAGGCATGACGGGCAGGTCTGTGATGCGGAAAGATACAAAATTGCCCCAGGTAGTGCTGGAAATCCTTACTCCTGCAGCTACTTAGGCAAATGAATTTAACCCACCAGGACTGAGCATCTAGCCTGGGAAAGGGTGTTTCTCTGCCACATTTTTGGCAGCTCCAAATAATTTGTGGATGGAAATATCCTCTCTGTCTCCCAGGAAATGCCAGTCTTGTGTCCCTTTCTTCAGCTTTGGCTGTGTTGCTACCTGGGGTTTTCACGTGTGTTTCCAGCAGCCGAATCTCCAGCCGTTCCCTCTCTGACAGAAATCTGACCGTTTCAGAGCTAGTGATGAGCTGGGAATCTTCCAGGCACTCATCTGTCTAAGAGAAGTTTGTTGAGCAGTGAGCTTCTCTTTAGGCTCAGCACAGCCTCCAGGGACTGGCGCTGCCAGTGTGACTCTGCCTCCCTGAGAGTGATAATGATCTGGTCCTTGTCACACCATTCAGGGGAAGCATCTTGGTGGCACAGGGCTAAGAGTCACGAGCCTTTTTAATCTTAAGGTGTAGCTCTTAAGGGAAATTCTGCTACAGTTTTACCCCCCAGCTTTAAAAGACTGAACCCTTGCTACACCACCTTGAGTAATACTATTTCTCTTCCTCACAGGTTGCTGTCATGTAGGGTACTGGCTGATGGGGACTTGATTTTTTTTTTTTCTTTTTGTATGGTTCTTTCTACATTGTTTAATGGCTTTAACTTTTGTAGATCTCTTCCTCTGCTCTGCAGCCTGGATTAAAAAGGAGGCTGCAGAGTGTGTGTGTGTGTGTGAGTGTGAGCACACTTAAATGCTTATCTGCACATCTGAGCTTTCTAAACTTGCCTGTGCTCTAATTGCGGAGTGTAGACTCTGCATGCAGAACAACCCAGCCTGAAGTGATAATCCCAGGCTCAGCCCCCAGGGAATGCCTGGCACTGCTCTGGCCTGATTTTCCTAATGGCTCTGCAACTTGCTGCTGGTTTGCAGGTGGTTCAAATTGTTATCTCTGAGCACCTTGCCCGGCTTGGGCAGAGCTCTTGGGATCTCTGGTCCTTTGAGAATACCTGTATTTTGTGATTTATTTATTAATTTAGAAAATCTTCTTCCTCTCTCCCTGTTTTAGGTGCAATCTGGGCTTGTGCCAGCTCAGCACACTCGCTGAGAAGGGGTGCAAGCCCAGCCTGCACTCCCTGCTAACACAGAGAGGGAAGAGAGGGAGACTTGGAGTTCCAGCTGCCCCTCCTGCCCCCTCTGAACAACCCTTCCGTGCCCCCACCCCTGCATGATCGATATCCATGCCATTCCTTTCTCTTGCACTGGAGAATTGGTATTTTTCCTTGGCTAATAACCTGTGTCTGATTTAGTTTCCAGGCAGAACGCCCTGCATTAAATGTCGTCATTTTCCCTCTGCTTCATGAGGACTTGACAGAGGTCATCAGAGATGTCCCCATGCGGCACTTGGATGAAATTACCTTGTTTAAGAGCAGAGTGGCCGAGGAACCTCCCAATTTGTGGTGGTGACTGTCACAGCAGGGAAAGGACAAGTCAGCGTGAACACGTGGAATAGCTTCTTGTTGGCCTGGATTGCCCGTCTTCGGCTCCTGGCCACCTCACTGGATGCTGTACAATCACTTTAACCAGGTGCAATTGCAAAATAATAATAAAGAAAAAAGCTGGTCCTTTGCAGTGGGGAAAAATCTGTTGGATGTTTGCTTGCATCTGAAAATCCTGTCTCAAAGGCTTCTGGAATCTTGATGAGTATTTCCTTGCGGTTGATATGAATTGTTTCGTTATTTTGCTGAAGTTAAAGGTAAGAGAGACTGACTTAACGATGCTCTTTCCCCCGTGTCGCCTGGTGTCTTTCCCAAGGGCCCCTGTGTACGTTGGCAGTGTGCTTTGTGATGTTGGTGGAAATCATTCTTTGCTTCGGTCTGTTTTTGGCAAAGTAGAAAGCCTAGGCCAGCTGAGAGGCACAAAAACGTGTTGCTCAATTGAAGCGCATCACATCTTTTCTATGTTACAAATAGGCATTTGTAGTCACACACATGCAGTCCTGGATATTTAAAGGGTTTTTTTGATGGAGAAGTACCACAAGGACTCTTCTTTTTATTTTTAAATAACAAATTAAGGTCATTAACACCTCAACCATGGTATATTCTTGCTGATGCTGTTTCCAGTGGTCTGGTGGAAGAAGTTCTCAGCTCTTTTGGAAATCCTTGTCTTAGGGTAGATGGTGCCTACAGTAAATAAGTTGAGGCTCAGATCTGATTTATATGCAGTCTGTCTTGCAGTGTAGATGGGAATGTAGTGTTCCAGTTCTGTCCTTATATCCCATGCCTTGAGCTCATGCTAATTTTAGAGATGTTATGAAGTATTTTCACAGTGTGATTTCAGTCGGCTTCTCTGCTCCACAGAACTTCCTCAGGCATCAGTAGTGGTCTGGATCACTTTCATATTGCCTTATTTACTGAGCACTTTTGAAAGCGTCAGACAGCTGTACCAAAAGCCAAGTAATGAATTCCTGGAGCTACATTTCTGGGTGGCATAATTTCCCTTGGTAGCAAACCAGGTCTGTCTTCTGCAAAGCAGCTACTGACCAGAGCTGTCTAAATTCACCTAAATCCCAAATGTGTTGAGCAGTGCTTTCCTGGGGAGGCCCAGAGTTGTCCAAAGATGATATCCTCATCTCCTTGTCAGCATTTTCTGCACAAGATGCCATCTCCCAAACAATACTCTGCCCTCAGTGTTCATAAGAGCCCTGGTCTGATGGGCTAGATTTGAGAGTAAAGTGCATCTCCCAGCTTTGCAGGACTTTCCCTCCTTATTTTCCTGTCAGCCAGGTGTGAGCCTGCCTGAAAGTCTGTCCTGCAGGTGTAAATCTTGAGCCAGGCTGTGATAACCCTTGTGCTTGGAGAGGTTACGGTGTAAGGAGCAGGTAAATGTCAGGCTCCTGCTGGCACAGGTCTGTGCCTCGCTGGAACCAAGCCCTGTGTGGTTTGCTGGGGTTCCCTCCCTTCCCCTCTCAGGACAGGGAGCCAGCACAGTCTCTGGTTTGCAGTTGGCAGCAGGCTGGCGAGGCTGGCTCGTGCTCCTCTGGGAATGCTGCAGCTGAGCTCTGAGCCCTCCGGAAGCGTTTGAGGCTCTGCCTCAGGTTGGGCTCCGTGCAGGTGAGTGTCGGGAGCTGGTGCCCTGTTCTTGGCATCCTGCTGCTCTTTTCCCTCCCATTCTCCCTGATGAGGTCATTCTTTCTACCTCTTGTCATATTACTTGCCTGTTTGAGTCCCTCTCTTCCTTTCCAATAGCTTTCTGCTCTCCTTCTACCCTCACTTCAGCGCATCTGATGGATTTTTTGGCAGAAACATGAGCTGCTGCTCTGTCCAGTTCAGGCCACTTCAGCTCTGCCTGGTTTTTGTCCAGGTTTGTTTCCTAGGATAGCTAGTGAGGGTTAGGGAGAGTGTTTGCAAAGCTGCTTTCACCTCCTTGTCTGAAGCATTGGCAAAGCTGCTTTCTCCTCCTTGTACCTCTGGCTGCAGGGCAGAGCAGAGGGAAGGCTGAGGATATGGAACCAGCTCTCTGATGCCTAAGGGAACCTGTGTAGTCCTGTGAAGGAATCCCAGCAGTTTGGTACGTGCTACAGGAGCGAGGCCGTTCCCACCCTCAGCAGGGATTTCCCCTCCACAAACAGGCTGTGGCATCAGCAAGAGCTTGGTAGTGCTGCCAACTCACCTGTTCCTGTCCCACTGGAAAACCTGGATGGGGGACAGAGGTGTTCAGAAACCAGCTGTTGCTTGATAGTGCTGTTAACCCTTTGGTCTTGGGATTGCAGTCAACTGATGGAACAGGCTGTTCCTTTGGCTTGGCACATCCATATCCACCTGCCTTGTGTCTTGCTGGATGGGAGCAGCAATCAGGCATGTTTTATAATGCTGTTATTCTGTTGCCTGGGATATGTTGTTTAGGCATCTGTATTTGTGCAAGTGGTCAGAAATCCTGGTGATGCTGCCAGGTACAACCATGGCTAGGAAAGGTCACCCACAGGTGATAAAGAGATAAAAATTCCTTTCACCCCCAATTCCGGGCCAGTGCTCGATATCTCTACTAGAAATCCTCTTATGGTGAGTGAGAATTTCCGCTGCTTCTGCACTCCAGGCAGGATTCACCAGATGTTAATAATGTGCTTATTTTCTCTAAGTGCTATTTTGGCATCGGTGTTAATTACAATTTATATTCTGCAACATTTACACTGGGAAAAGAACCCACCCTAATAGTCCCCAATTGGCAGAGCTGGGCTATTAAACACAGCTCCATATGTTCTGAGCGGAGCAATGGTTGGGACTCGGAGCCCACTCAGCGCTCAGGCTCCTGCAGGAAGCCGTAGAGGAGAAGAGGGGAGCAGAGAGATGGGTGTTCTGCTCCTGGCTTTTATTTAATATGAAATCCCCCCTCCTTTTCTCTGTTCTCTGTCCCCATCTTTCCAGAAATCTCCCTCCTGCTGTCTGTGAGCATCTAATGAGGTGATCTCTGAGCCTGCTGATGCTGCTGTCCGTAGTCTAAAATAAATGAATTCAATTCCAGAAGGTGCCCTTCTCACAGGGAGTGCCTCTGCAAGATCCTAGTCCCTGCTGGCCTGTTCCTTGCTGCGCTCCAAAGCAGACCTCCAAGCTTTGGGAACTGCAGCAGAAGTCTTTGCTTTGATCACCAACAAGGTGTCCACGCTTCTGTGGGAGAAGGATATTCTGGGACAGGTGCTGTTAGTGCCTAAAATCCGCTGTTGTTTGCTGCTCTGTTGATGTCCAAAGTCTTGTTTGGTGAAGTGGCATTTGGTTCCTGCAGGCTGGGAGGCTCTGGAGTGACAGTGGGTTTGGTGTGGGGAATTCGGAGTGGCTAAGTCATCAGTATTCCCCTGGCTTTCTTACCAGCAGTGTAGGTTAAAGGATTGCCTCCTCAGCTGTTTGCAAAGCTGATTTCATGGTCTCTTTGGGAAGTGACAGTGTATCCACTGCTCCATCTGGGGAAGGAGCTGTGTGGTGACAGCCTTTCCTCCCTTTGGAGAGCTTGGGCTGCAGTCGCTTGTCTGTCGGGGAGGGGGTTTGGCAGGAGGAGATGAGATTGGAGTGAGAGGAGATAGGGCAGGATGGAGTCATGGACCTCACACTGGAAGCCAGACACACATCATGAGTCTTGGCCTCAGTTTCCTCACTTGTGGAAGGGAGAAGGCTCATTTGCCTGGCAGGGAGCCCCCAGGGGTGCAAAATGCTCTGCCCTCTGGGCGAGGTGTTTCTCCCTGGGGAGCACAGGGCAAGGCTGGGGCTGCCTCCTCCTCTGCCAGGTGTGTGAGATCCTGGGGAGCAGAGCAGGACTGTCCCCTCACCTTGGTCTTCAGAGGTGTGAGTGTCCTGTGGGAGACTGTACATGTGAGGTGCTCGATGCTTTCTCCCAGCAGCACTTTTTTAGGACAGGGCCACAGAAACATGAGACTTTTCCACTGACGGAGTGCAGAAGGGTTGTTTCAGCTGCTTAAAGGAGATGCAATTCCCTCTTGGCCAGTCCCAGCAGAGTGTCCAGCCAAAGCTCCTCTCCCTGTCCACAAGGAGAGCAGTGCAGGAGCTGTGCTGGGTGTTGCAGAGGCGAATCTCCTTCCACTGCAGCTCTCCTGCCTGTGTGATGAGATGCACAGGCAGCCGGGGTACTCCAGCAGGAGAATCATTTCCATAGAAACCAATTGGGATCTTGTATGGGGAATAATGATTAATAGTGAAGGGATGTTGCCTCAGGCCCTTTTCATTTTTTAGGGGGCAGTGAGGGACAAACTGGGGCACAGGTAAAGGGACAGGCAGACTCGAAAACTAATGGAAACCATCCCTTCCATTAATTTCCAGGGCAGCTTCCCCTCTTCTCCTCCTACCCAGCCCCCAGTGCTGCTTCCCAGCTTTCGTCAAATTTTCAAAATGGCTAACCTGGTTAGAAATAATCATAATAATAAAAAAGGATGGATGAGGTCTGACTACTAACATTGTTGCTGTTAGCAGCAGGATTTCAGCCATAAAACATGAAGCAAGGGAGGCATTGACCTTTCCGCTGTTTGAAATGAATGGAGACATCAATATCTATTGTTTTGTGGCATTGACCTCTGACGCTCTTGGTTCGCCCTCCCCTTTCTTTTTTTTTAATTTCCCCCTGACACTCGAGGAAAGGGGTCAGTTTGTACCATCTATTGATCCCGATCTTACTTGGTGATAGGGAAATAATTAGAATTTTAAAGATCTCTGCTGCACGCTGGCGAAATACATACAGAGGCACAGGCTAAGCCCCTGCTTGCTGCGTTGCGTTCTCCCCCCTTCTTGCAGGGATCCAAAGCTCTGAGATCTGAAGGAAGACAGATCAATATAGGTTTAATCATGATGGGGGTTTTATTTCAGTTTTTTAAATGGTAAAGTGTAACGTTTTATGTTAATGTTGTTGGAGTCTGGCTGCCTGGTGCCTTGTTTTATTTATTCTTTTAAGTAGCCCCTTCTTTTGTGAACTTCATCTATGTACAGAGAATGTGAAATCAGGCATTGCTAATTAGCTGTATGACAATTAAGTAATGTAGCACAAAACCATTAGGACACTGGATTTGTTTTTGAAGTTTGTCCTTTGAAGTGGAAGCTGCAACTCCCTGCCCAAGGCTGCTGGGGAAAATGTTTTTCTATCAAAACTTTCTTTGAAAATAAAATGTCAGTGTAAGAGTCCCTATTTCTGTCATCTCTCCCTCTAAACAGCGGGTGGAAATTGTTTCTCCTTGTAAAAACTGCTGGCATTGATAGAAAAGGGGAATTTAGGAAAGCATTAAATGGTCAGTTGGTCTCCAAACACCCTCAGTTCTGGTGAAGATGTTACCAAAAATGCTTGTTTGGAAGGGAAGGGTGCTGCGCTGGGAGAGAAGACCCAGCTCACGACCCTGGAGGTGGCAAAGGGAGGTGGCCCTAAAACTGTGGGTTCAGCTCTGACACCCCAAGTGCCATCAAGGTGACAGTGTGGTCACGGACACCGACAAGCTCCTGGGTTCGGGCTCCTCCATCCGTGCGCTCGTTTGACACTTGTGTTTGCATCTGGCCCTTTGTCCTCGTAGTGAGTCGAATTCTGAATGTGCAACTTTCATGTACGCTGGTGGCATGTAAAACTTCAAATAAAGAGTGAAACATTTGGAACCAGGTCTGTCTCCTTGCCTCCTGCTATCTATCTCCCTCTAAATCCAGAGCCCAAAGCCGCCCTCCCAGGAGGCACATTTTGGCACTGCGTTTTCAGGTGAGGTGTGTGTGGGCAGGGATGTGCCTGGGTGCAGCCCTAGCCTGGACTGGGAGCTGTGGAATGTCACTGGGAGCACTGGGGTGAGCGCTGCTGAAAAGGTTACAGCCCTACTCCCCCAGGCCTGAGGTTTTGGGATGCTGCTCCACACACCATGGTGCTTGTGGCTGAGGGCTCTGCTAAAGGAGCTACTTTGTGTTTAGGAAATGCTTCTCCTCCATGGATCTTGGAGCACTCAACTGCTGAGCTGTGCTGCTGTGGGACAGAACACTCAAGGTCAGATTGGATGGGGCTTGGAGCAACCTGGCCTAGTGGAAGGTGTCCCATGCTCGAGAAAATGTGCATCCTATTGAGCTGTCTCTTGTGTTGTTGTTTCTAGGGATAGTGGTACACGGAAACTAGGCTTCAGCACCTACTTTGGATTGAGAAAACCTACAAAATAAACACGCAGGAGGATCAGCTTTGTGGAAAATGGTGCAGCTCAGGTACCCACGTGCTTAAGTCAGCTCACCCCAGGTAGGTGAAGTAGAGGAGAGCGTCAGAATGCGGTTGTGATCAGTTTTTAAAAGGTGAGTGAGTCTGTGCAGGACTTGTGTTAGGACTGTGTGCTGAGATCTCTGCCTGCAGTGATCCAAGGTTTTATTCCAGGGTGGATCACAGGCCCTCCTCTGTTGTTTTTCAGTTCTGGCAGGTCTGCTCACTCGGGCACAGAGCAGAGACCCTCCCTCCATCCCTCCTGTGCTTGTGTTTAACTTATGGATTTTATTGTTCCAATAACTTTTATCTAAATGTGGTTTTGGGGGAGGGAGGAAGGAGATAAGGAGGGAGGAGACTGAAGAAAGAATGTGCTTTTGGACTCTGCTAAGTCTCCATCTTATCGCTGGGCCTTGCCGTGGGGTTTTGGCATTCAGGATTCCAGGGGAGGACTCCAGTGGGAAGTGGCTGAAAGGGCCGTGGTTGATGTGAAACACTGGTGGGGGGAAACCCAAGGAAGGCCCATGCAGAGCATCCCCCTTCCCATTTGGTACTGATCTTGTGTCCTCTGCCAGCTTATATGTTGGCAAGGAGGGACCTGACTTGGTTTCAAGCAGGAAGAACTGGAGCAGAGGTGTGGAAAGGCTGAGGGAGAAGAGCTCAGCTTGGCACAGGGAGGGATGGATGTCTCAGTGTGTTTCTGGTTTTACCCTCACCTGTACAGTCAGTATTTAGGCACATGGAGTATTGATGTCAGCAAGGTGGGCAAGAGTCCCTGGTTCTTCCACCTTCTGGGACCTTGTCTGGGAGGTCTCCAGGCCTGGGATGGCAGGAGGAGAGGTCTCCTGGGTCTGTGCTCTGTGTAACTTCTCACTCCCTGGGTCAATTTGGGAGCAGCATGTGCGTTGCTGGCTCCGAGGTGGAGGCAGGAGAGAAGGGAATGTGGAGAAGAGCAGCCAAGTTGCTTCAACTCCCAGAGGCTTTGTTTGTGGCCACAGGATGCAGCTGACAATTTGCAAGGTGCTAATTTTGGGCTTGGTACTTCCCAGCCCCAGAGGTGGCCTCTCCCCAGGGTGCATGCACGAGGGAGAACCTGCGTGTGAGGGAGGTTTCTGACCATGGGGAAAGGTGGAAAGTCTTGGGAAGGACCAGGAGGAGAGGAGAAGTTATGGTGTCAGGGCATTTGGTAAGCCATAGCCTCTGTTCAGTTCCCGTGATCCAGCCCTGTTTTTGCTTTCTGGTTGGCATCAGAGTGGACTCCAGAGTCGCATTCCCATTTCACTGTGCTTGAATTTGGTTTTGGTGTGGTGGTGAAGGTTTGCATGGAGAGGGAGAGCCACGGTGAGTGGAGAAGAGGAGAAAAAGGATGAGCTTTCTCTCTCCTAGGAAGTACAAATGGATGGAGCGGTATTTCTGAACAAACAAGTCTCTCATCCCTGTCTCCTGGAAGCTGCATTATCAGAGCACCATCACTGTCCTCTCTTCTCCTTCCTACCCCCCCACCCCCGCGATGAGCAGGAATTAAAAATACAACTAATAAAACCCTTTTACTTTCTCCAGCAGGAGAAAAAAAAAAAGAAAGCAAAGCAGCCTTGAAAATGCTAAAGGACATAAAGGGCATTCATGAAAGGGTTGGATGGTGGTTATTGCAGCAGGGGGAAAAACATTATTTCACTGTGCAGATAAAAGGAAGTGGAAAAGCAGCATATTTATAGCTGGGGAGCCTGGATTCCTTGTTAAGCTGCTATTATCAAATTAATGTCAAAATGCATCAAACAGGCACGAGTGTTCTGGGCCCCTTATGCAAAGTGCTTGCAAATTGGTTACAAATACATTTGTTTACAGGGGACGAGGCAGGAGCGAGCTAATTAGTCATTGTAGCAGGGCTGTTTTCTGTCCTTTTTTTTCTATTTTTTTTAACATTTTTTTGGCAATTACACAAACAAGCTGTTTTGAAGTATAAATACGTGCTGCATTACAGCCCCTTTTAAAGGGAATCAAATAGGAATTGTGGATGCAGAGGGCTTGACGTGAGCCTTGTTGCCTCTCCTCCCTGGACACTGCAGCCCGTGCTGGGCGCTCGGCTCCGGGATGTGGTGTGGAAACCGACAGGAGAGCATTGGCAGGGTGAGGTGTGGGTGGAAAGGGAACAGCTTGTGGTTTTGGGTCATCCAAGGGGGTTGATAACCCCTCATAGGGGGCACAGTGTCAGGGTGGGGGTGGCTGTAGTTGCTCCAGCTCGCTGAGCACTTTGGATGCCATGAGGCTGCAGCCACATCCCATGCTGGGGATTGGCCATTTGGGTGTGGGATCTGTGGAGGTTTCAGTCGCCCACCAGTATTGTGGGAATTCCCTTTGGGTTTGGGATATTTTGAGGTGCTTTGGCTGTAAGCAGCAGCTGCCAGCTCAGGGTATGAAGCACTTTGTGCCCAGCTACTTGGTACCAACATTGTTTTGGGGGATGCCCTGACATACAGAGCATCCCATGGTTGGGTGACAACATCCACTCAATGTGAAGAAAGGAGTCTGGTGTTCCCTCAGGTGAACGTGTCTTCAGGGCTTCTTTAACCAAACCACAGGCTGTGCCTCCCAAACCTGTTAATGAGGAAGGGAAGCAGGAAATCTTATCTGATCTTCAGTGTGGGAATGGTTGGGGAATTTGGTTGGGGGGCAGATGGAAACTTCCCACTGCCCTGCATCTTAATGCATCCCGTTCTGGAATTAAATCACACCTCTGCCACTCAGGGGAAGCTGCTAATTGAATCTGCTCTGATGGGAGAGAGAATGAAGCCAAGAGGCATTTACTACCATTAGTATTATTTTTAATTTACTAAGAAAGAGAAAAGAGAGAGGAAGGAACATGCTGTTGCCCCTCTCGTGCTGGAGGCCCCGACATTTCTTGGCAGAAGGTGCAAACAGCCCCGTGGCTGCTTCTGCATTTGGATTTGTTTGTGGTAAATCTGCCCTTCAGGCTGGAATAACCCTTCTGAGCAGGTCCTGTGGTACCAGAGGTGCTGGGAACATTGAGTTTAATGCCATCATAAAACCCTGCTGTGGTTTCCATTCCCTCAGGGGGGGCAGTGACTGTGCAGGATGGTCGTGCTCAGCATGGCTTTCGTGCCAGCAAAGCCTGGGGTGCTTCAGGTCCTGCCGTGGATGGAGCTGGATGGCATCCTGAGGTCCCTCTGGGATCAGAGCCCCTCTCAGAAGCCCATGGCTTGGTGCAGTAAAGGGACATGAGCCCGGCTGAGCTCCCCAAGCCCCGTTCATGAGGGTCGTTGATGATGAAGAGATATTTTGTGTCTCCAGCCTCCCGGCTCCCCCATGGTTTGCAGATGTTGGGTGCAGCACATCACTAAGCTCATCTGGGTGGGAACAGCACAGAAGAAAATCTTCTTGGAGGACCAAGAGCAGTAGGAGAGGGAAGGGCTTTCCCTGGCCTCCTGCAAGATCTCTGATGTTTGCTCCAGGTTTTATTCTTGTAAAACTCAGGGTATCATTTCTCTGCACCTTGGACCTGATTTTCAGCACTACCTTCAAACTCCAAACCTCTCGTTACCATTTCTTGTCCCATTGACTTTGGCGGGCTCATTGGCCCACTCCATTGGGATCAGGGTGTATGATTTTGAGGAATGTTCCCATTTCTAGCGTAATCCTACCCCTGCCCTATGAGCTCTGCAGGAGCACAGCTCAGCTGGTCAGCAAATGTGTGAGCAGCCCATTGCAATCAGGCTTTAACTCACGCCCAGTTGTTCCAATCAGAATGTGTCTCTCTTCATTTACAGCAGGGCTCTGGCTCCGGTTTGACTGTCACCTCTGATGATTGTTGGTGACTGTGGCATGGGAATGGATCCTGCTGTGGTTTGAGCTGTGGGTGTTTCATGCCTGCTTTTCTTGTGCAGGAGTGTGCCAGCATCTCTTTGCTGTGATGGTCAGAAGCAGACCTCCAGTTCCCACCCTCTGTAAGTCACACTGCTTTGTACCCTTTCCCTTGGAGAAGGCTGTGGAGCCCAATGGTTTTGCCTTGGTAGGATGGGACAATGGGGCACAGACCTGGGCTTGATTTTCTTCTGCACTGTTAATTAGTGTAGTGAAGGCACAGCCTTTCTTGGAGTGACCATCAGCATTGTGTGTGGCAGTGACTTCCAGCTTCCTGGTGACCCCTTCAGTTTCCAAATGTGCCTGATGCACACGAGGACCTTCTGTGGTGTGTCCTTGGACATGTTTCTCCATGGCCTCCTCTTCCATGTCCAGAGGGGAGGGACACACTGCCCTTCAGCTCTGGCTCCTCTACCCCCCAGAACAGGAGGTTTCTGTAGGATTGAGGTGTCCAAGATTTCTTAAACTCTTGCAACAAAGAGCAAAACATTGCAGTTGTCCAGTCCTCATGCTTGTTGAGCAAACGGGAGAGGATGAAGAGGTTCCCTTCAGGCTGAGGGACAGGAATTGGGTCTTGGCCATTGTCCACCCAAGTGGCAGGAAGGGTGTGGAGATGCAGGAACAGACACATCTCCAGGGAGGGCTGAGGACTCACGTGCAGTGCTTGGAGATGTGCTAAGAGTTTGCTTGGCTCTGTTCACAGCCCAGAGCTGGTGGTTCCTGTATGGGAGCCATGGAGGTGGCGATTGCCCCGAGCGTGGGAGCGAGCCCTGGGGAGCAGAACTCAGCAGGGGCAGGGAAGGCGCTGCCCGGCCGATAAGGCTGCGGGCGCTGCTGGCAGTTAATGGTAACCCAGCATCCTCTTCCTCCCCCCAGGAATCCCACGTGGGCAGCACGAGGGCTGAGCCGGGTTGGGGAGCGATGTGGCCTCTCCTGATAAGCAGCTCCAGTTCCTGCTCCTGCAGATTTACAGCCGGGGAATGGGGAGGTGGGTGCTGTGCTTTTGGCGTGGTGATTTATAGCAGCGCAGGGCGGCAGCTGCTTCCCCCTCTGGCCACATCCCAGCAACTGCATGGAGTGTTAGGGCTCCATGACTAAGCCGTGGGCGAGGGAAAGGCTCAGCCCAGGTCACTGTACTGTGGGACACAGGTGGGAGCAGGTCTCTTTCATCCAAAGATGAAAACGTTCCCGCCACCAGGCTCCCTGGGGAGAGGCTGCCTCATGGCATCAGGGATGCTTCCAGCCCTTCAATCCCCAATCCCAAATGCTGGAGCCCACCAAAGTTACGAGAGAGATGACTGAGGTTCTCAGCTCTCAGACCCACGTGGGACACCCATGAGCATCACCAGCCCCACTTAGCAATGCCTGCACTGCCAGTTGGTTTTCCATGAGTCCCTTTGACGCAGACCAAGCAATGCTGGGGGGGATGAGCTGTGGCAGGCAATGAAGGGGAGGATGATGAGGAAGGAAAGGTCAGATGCCATCACTGCGCTCCCTTCCACATCCCAGCTCCTGCCCGGGTGAGCTTCCCAGCTCCTCTGGTTTGTTTTAGAGGCAGCGTGGGGGCCCCAGAGCCCTGCAAACCCTCCACACTCAGGGTTTTATAGGCATGTGGAAATAGTTTCGTCTGGTTTCAGATCTGGCTGATCACTGACTTTCCTGCTGCCCTCCCCCCGAAAAGGGCTGACAACCGCACTCGTCTTCCTCCCTCTTTCTTCTTTCTCCTCACATTGTTCTCCGAAATCCCAGCTGCTGCTTTTCTCCCCCGCTCCCTTTCCTATCCTCTCACATCAGCTGGGATGGATCTATCTGGTTTTTTGTATAAAAATTCTTTTTTGTTGTTTGTGTTTCTCCCTCCATCCTGGGGGTGTCAGGGTGCCTCGCTGTGCCCCATCCTCTCCTCCAGGGGCAGAGGGCTCCGGGCACCCTCATTGTCACCCCCGAGCTGGTGGTGGCAGAGGGGGGAGTCTTGGCAAGCACTGGCATCTCCAGAGCCCTCATTTTACCTCTCTTAGGGAGAAACCTGGCAGATCCTGGGGCCAGAGCTGCCACATTTCTCCCTTATTTATCACTGGTGAAGTGCTGACACAGGGGATTCCTGGCAAGCCAGCTCCCACAGGGTGGGACAGGATGGGATGGGATTATGGGATGGGATGGGATGGAGCAGGTCTTCTCGTGACTGTGGGCTGCTCCCTGATCCACTGTGGGCTCTTTCCAGGATGATATATTTATGTGTCAGTGCCTGGCTGCAGTTCCTGTCAGCCCCGAAGCAGATCCCCTGGCACCCTCTGGCATCAGTGGGAGCCTCCACCCTGTGGAGGTGTTCAGGAAGGGATCCCAGTGCTGGGAAGGGGCTGAGCTGGGCTACCCCTGGCTCACTGGAGTAGATGCTGGGGTTCCTTCTGTGGTTCCTTTGGGTCTTATCCCCTGACCCTGGGAAAGGGGATACAGTCAAGGCAGTGGACAGCAAGACTAAGCAAGGACTGGAGAGGCAGGACCCAAAGAGCTGTTGATGCCTGAAGAGATGCTTGGTGTGAGCTGGTCAGGGAGTCCTCAATGTCACCATCACCCTTCCTGGCTGCTGGCACCCCTTCCCAGTACTCAGTGGCTTTTTCCACCTTCTGTCTTCCCACCTAGCTCCTGCCCCATGAAGGCACCTGGGCAGCCTCAGCAGGGAGGAGGAAACTTTTCTGGACTTCTGAGCCCCAGCGTCATTCCCTGTGCCCAAACCTCTGCCCGTGTCTCCCCTCCTTCCATGGACACTTGGCCACCAGACTGCAGCATATAATAAATAGCTCCCTCATCAAATTTGGGTGAAATACCGTGAATTAACTCACCAAGACTGTTTGTCCAGGCTGTCCCAGCTGAAATGGCTCCAGGCTGAGGATCACTTGACCATCCCAGGAGCTGACAGGGGCCAGGCGAGGATGAGGAGCAAGAAGTAGAGGAAGGCAGCACTTGATGCCCATGAGTGAGTCCCTTCCAGGCAGTGGGAGAACCCTCCTGTGGGCTTCATCTTCCTGGCAGCCCAGAAAGCAGCTGGTGTGGTTCTGGTGTCTCCCTCTTTCCCGTACGCCTCCCCATGGGACCGTGCCTCCGAGTCAGCATCTCCTGAGGTGGTCACTTTTTTTTCTTTCTTTTTCAGAAAATAATTTTAAATGCATGACTGGCAATTCAAGAGAAAACGGGAGGAAGGGTTGTTATTGCTGAGGATCTCAGCCCAGCCGGAGGAGACGTGTTCCTTTTGTGGAATCAAACATCCGTCAGGGATCCGTCATGCAAATTTATTTCACTTTTCTTCTTTTTTACCTATTCCATTGATCCAGAGCCTGTAGCAGTTGGCTCATGGAGAGAGAGGTTTGTTAATTCAGGAGCCTCAGTCGGTGAGGATGGGAATTTGCCAAAGCTCCTGGCTCAGGGGGGTGCTTTGTGCCATGCATGGGGACTGTGGCACTGTGGGCTGGGACACATCCCTCCAAAGGAGAGGGGAGAGGTATTTGCTGTGTTCCCTGGGCATTGTGTGTGCCTGGAGTGGCTTGGAAAGGCAGGAGAGTAGCTGCCAGCTCTGCCAAAGCTGCTTCCCACCATGGGAAGGGACAAGGACACTTGGTCATGCTGCTGGGTCAGTCACTGCCAGCCCTGAGGAGTAAATGTGAGTTAAACCCTTAAAATCACAAGACGGTGTTAAAAATATCCAACTATGAAATTACATTTTATTTTATTATTATTATTAGACTCTTCAGTCCATCTGGGTGTTTTCAGGAGTGACCTGCCAAATTTCTCTCTGCAGGTGGGAGGTTCAGGGTCCTGTCACTTCCAACGGCATCTTCATGTTGAAGAGAGATGATTCCAGCCCGACTGCTGGCTGAGGATCCATGTCTGTGTCTTGGGGAAGGTGCCAGGCTGCCTTGCATGGTCTGAGTCTTCAGAGAATCCCAGAACAGTTTGGGTTGGAAGGGACCATAAAGATCACCTTGTTCCAACCCCCTGCCATGGGCAGGGACACCTTCCACTAGACCAGGTTACTCAAAGCCCCATCCAACCTAGTCTTGAGTCTTCTCCTTCATCAGTCTCTTCTCCTGGGCATGAAGAGCAGATGGAGCTGCCTGGGCAAGGGCCAGAAGCTGGTGCTTTTACTGCTGTGGAGAATCTTCTGTTCTGGAAGGAAGAGCCAAACCCCTCCGGGAGCCGGAGCACATCCAGCGGTCGGAGCCTGAGAAGCCTCACTCTCTGTGACATTCTCTGTGTCCCTGCAATGCTGCTCCTCCTCTGCTCTGCTGGAAGCACTGCTTCGTCCTTCAAGAAAATTTCTTTTTTGCTTGAATTGAGTATTTTTATTCTTTTTCCCCCCCAAAAACCGATCTCTGTGTGTCTTTGCAGGCCAGCTCTGGTTCGCTGTGGGACGCAGAGGCCATGCCCTCAGCTGATGACTCTGGATGAGTTAAGACACATGTGGGTGTCCCCACCATGTGGGCTTGTGTGGCTGCAGAGGAGCCGCTGAGCATCCCTGCTGCCGGGAGAACCAGGGAGATTCCTCATTAAAACAATTTGGGAGACGTTCATCTGAACAGAAATCTGAATTTATTCTGCTCGCGCTGCCTCTCCTCCGTCTCCTCTTCCTCAGGCAGCGGAATTTGCTGGTAGGAAACAGAAAACACAGGGATGTCTGGGGGGCTCTTGGCTGGAAATGGAGGGGGGTGGTGGAAACCCAACGATCCGGTGCCTACTCCACATCCATCCCCTCGCTCCTGCGTCGCCTCCGGCCGCGGTGCCAGGTACCGCTGGCACTGCAGAGGCTGAACAATCGCAACAGCACCGCGTCCTCCGCGGCCACCGACTCGTCCTGATGGTGATTTTTCCTGTCGTTGCAGGTATCGCCTCCTTTCCCCGGGCTTCTCCTCAGCCCCAGCAATGACTTGTCTGAATAATTCAACTGAAAATTCAGGATCGCAAGTAAATACGGGATAATTGCTAACAGCTCCCAGGCAATCCGCTGCCAGAGGGCGGCTAAACTCCCGGTGAATTATTTATCCGCTGTGAATTATTTGCCTGGCCCTGCTACGGAAGAAAAGCTCCTTCCCAACCTTTGCCTGACGAATGGCCTGGCTGGGGGCGACTCTCCGGGTGCTGACTCAGCCCTTTCCCAGCTCCATGCCTGTTCCTGCTGCCTGCAGCTCCCGTTGCTGGGTGCCTGGGTAATTCCTAAAGCTTTGGGTCACACTGGCAACCTTCGGGGTGGGTTATGAGGGTCTTAATCCCAAACCATCCTGCGGCTGCAGAATTCCATCTCTCCATGCCTCACTATATGAGATGGAGTGTCTCTTGTTTGGGGAGATGGAAAGGGCTCCCTGGCTGCGCTTCCCACCCCTTTCCTGCCCTGGAAAGAGCAGCTGGTGCAGAGATGGAGTTGGGGATGGTGTCAGAACAGGGATGCAGGCTGGAGAGTTCCTCTGGGATGCTTGCTGGCTTAGATGATGTACTACTGAGAAACTGATTTGTGATGATGTCCCTCATCCCGCTCCATCCATGGTGTCCCTTATCCCACTCCTCAGCAAGTACCTCCACATTGAGCCAGGTGCTGGGAGCTCTCTCCTGCCCACAGATGATGGGGTGATGGCCTCTGTGGGCTTGTGGGCATCCCTCTGCCCACTCCTCCCCCCAGGAACAGAGAGAAATGGCCCTCAGAGGTGAGGAGCTGCTGGCCTGGGCTCATCAATCTCCATTTGCATCCAAAGAAGAAGGGGAAAAAAAAAAGATTTAGAAGCAAGATCAATACTGAAAGAGCCTGTCTTTTTTTCTTTCCCCTCTGCTCCTCTGGGGGTGGGAAACTCGAGGCAGGTACTGCAAGTAAATCCTCCCGGCTACCTGGATGTAAATCAGGAGGGAGGTGATGGATTTATGGGAGCCCAGCCTGATTTACGCTCCCGTGTCTGGTCCCTGCAGGTCGGCGCGTGGCCCTGGGGAGGCGAAGTGCCGGATGGGGGCTGGAACCACCTCCTCCTGCAGGCAAGGTGGGACTGGGGGTGGTGCGTGTGGGAGTTTTCTGTACTTTTTAGACCCAGTTCAGGGAATTTAGGACTTTTTGCTTTGCCTCTTTTCTGCTGGAGTTCAGCAAAGTGCATCCGCTCAGACCCAAGTCCCAGATGTCCTGCTGGGGGCTGACTTGGTGGCTTGGTGGAGAAAAAGGTTCTGGCATTGCTCCCAGTGATGCTCTCTCCCCCTCCATCTCTCCTCCTGTCCCATCCCAAGAGCCGGTGGGGGCTTGCTGTCGGTGCAGTTAGTTTCTCCATGGAAGAGGGGGAGATTTTTCTTTGGAAAAGTCCTTCTCTGAGGACTTTGGAAGGCCCGAGGGTGGCAATGGGAGGTGAGTTGTTGCAGCTCCAGGGCTCCCGTTCCCAGCCTTCCCATGTCCCTGGCCATGGCAGGGCTGGAGCAGGCATGGGGAGGTGTTGTTATTCCTCTCATGCAGCAGGAAGGATTTCTGCGAGTGCCATAAACCATCACGTGGGCAGAGCCTGGGTGAGCTCTAATTGCTTCTATTTGCATAACGAGGCGAGGCTCAGCATCCTGCTGATATTTGAAAGAGGAAAATCAAAATCAGCTCTAGATAAACAACTCCCCCCCTCCTCCAATCCCTACCCCCACTCCTAATTTGTGCATTTTCTCTCTTAATGCAGGTTTTTCAGCTCTTTGGTCTCTTCAGAAGCACGGAGACCACCCCTGGGACTCCTCCCGAGGGAGCGTGGGTGCTGGGGGGTGCTGCCCCTCTCCTCTAGCTGCGGTGATCTGGGGGCTTTCCATGGAGCTGGCAGTGAGGGATGTGGTGTTGAGGTGTCTGAACAGGAGCTGGAGAGGCTCAAGGTGGGCTCAGGGCTGGAAACACGGAGCCCCAGCTGGAGGGTCCGGGCTCAGCGTGGGAGCGGGTCCTGCTCAGGGGTGGGGCTGTGCAGGGCCAGAGGGGCTGTGGCCAGCCCGGGCTGGGGGTCCCCGAGAGGGAGCCCAGCAGATGTCACTGCAGCCCAGTGTCACTGCAGCCTGGACCTGCCACCTTCTGGGGACCTGCCAGGGGTGGGGTGGGATGGAATGGGACCTTTCCTCACCTGCAAGCCCCCAGGAAAGGCTTAGCTTGCACCTCACGTGTTGCTGTTTGAGGGGATGCTCCTGCCTTGCAACCCTGAGAGGACCTGGGAGAAGGTCCAGGAGGACCTGGAAAAGGGGGTGACATCCCCTGCCTTTGCTGTGACAGCAGGCTGCCCCCCCAAGTGTGCTGTCCCTCCGTAAGCCCTTTTCCCTACTTGCCCACAGCCCAGTGGACCAGAAGCATCCCTCCTGTTCCCTTGGGTCCTCAGGGTCCTTCAGCCAAACCCAGTTGTCCCTTTGGAGGGCCCTTGAGCATTGCCAACACTTGCTTGGTGCCCAAGGCTTTGTGACCTGTAGGGGCTGTTCTCCTGGCTGGGATTCCAGGGGATGGAGCCTTGCTCTCTCCAGGCCAGGTAACAGACACCAAGCAGAAACCTGCCGTGTCCCTTCCCTGGGGGACCAGGCAAATGGGCTCCTTCCTCCTCCTCTTCCTCCCCAGTATGAGGGCTGGTGTCCTCTGAACCCTTTGCTGCCCTCTGAGGGAGAAGTGCTGACTCCAGATGTTTCCCTAAATGAGAACCTTCTGCAAACAGTGATGGATTAGATTTGATTTTTGGGAAGAAATTCTTCCCTGTGAGGGTGGTGAGCCACTGGCACAGGTTGCCCAGAGAAGCTGTGGCTGCCCCATCCCTGGAAGTGTCCAAGACCAGCTTGGATGGGGGTTTGAGCAACCTGGGATAATGGAAGGTGTGCCTGCCCAAGACAGGGAGTTGGAATGAGATGATCTTTGGGATTCCTTCCAACTCAAACCACTCTGTGATTCCATGATTTTTACTTTCTTGGCCCACTGGTCTTCAGTGACCTTCAAAATCCCTCCAGCAGCTCTTAAAGGTGGGGGAAGAGAGGGAACAAGATGGGAGGAGAGGTTGTGAGCAGGAGGTAGCTGGTCCTTGCAGCACACGGGGTGTGTCTGTGTGTGTGTGTGCACCGACTTTCCATCGGGCTGATGAAAGGACTGGGAGCTCTTGAAGCTGGAGCCAAGGTGAGTAACCTGTGGCTGTCCCAGGGGTGCTGGGGAGGGGAAGGCCTGTTTACTCAGGAGCAGCAGGGATGCTCTGCCAGGAGCTGGGATGTTCGGTAACAGCTTGCCGAGGAGGGGTTGGGATTCAGCATCCCAGCCCGTGCTGTGGGGAGGGATGCTGGCCAGGCAGCTCCACTGTCAGCCCCCAGATCAGTGGTCCAGGGGGATGCACTGGCTGGGGGTGCAGGATGTAGGGGGTTTGCCTCCTCACCAGGTCCCTGCAGCTGAGCAGGGGTAGCTGGGGCTGGTCCCTGCTGCGATGGGGCTTTGGTGGAAGGGACAGCCCAGACTCCAGCTGGGAAGCAGTGGCTTTGTGCTGGTCTGGGCAAGGGGTCTCTATCCCAGGCAAGGGGTCTCTGATCCCTCCTGCCCCAGCAGCAAAAAGGTTTTTCCTCCTCCTGTGTGGAAAAGAAGCTCCCACTGCCATCACACAGCTCTTTCTGCCTTGCCTAGGGTCTTGCTTGCACCCCACCTCCAAATTTCCAAGGGCTTCCTGGGCTCTCTTGTCACCCCCGTGTTGCATTTGGGATTTGTATTTAATTCTTATTTATCTCTCCATAGGTTTGTCGCTGTCATTGCTGCTGTTCCCAGCTTTCCAGCAGGTTTGCTCTGCAGAGAGCTGCAGGTTGGCTATGAAATATGACAAAGCGTTCATTTAAATGCACACCATGATGTCGGCGAGTCCATTAGGGGAATTAATTTGAATGGTTGGCATTTAATAAACAGCCTCGTCCCTCCTCTCCACACACAACCCTCCCCCCCCCTCACCACTGCCGGCATCTTGGAAGGGTTAAAAAGAAACCACATGTGGATATTGGAAGGAGTGGGGAGCAGGTATCTGGGTCTGGGGAAGGGGGGGGGAATAATAGAAGAGATCTGGTGTTATAAGAAGAATTGCAGTTTGTTTTGTTCCTGGTAAAAAAAAAGCACATGTGGAAGGGTTTTGGGTTCACGGGGTGTTTGGTGCATGGAGAAAACAAGGGGGTGAAGGAGGAAGACACACTCCGGCCGGAGGGTCCCAGCCTGGCTCCGAACACGCCGGGCTGGGGGGAGGCGAGGGGGCTCCAGGGACGTGGCTCCCCATATGGTGTGTATTACAAGCTCCTTTCTAGTTGTAAAGATTAATTTAAAGCCTTTCTCACCTCCCCCCCATCCCTCTTCCATTGACAAATGAACATCTGGGCTGAATGCTGCCCAGATCCTAATCAAAGCATTTTTTCCAGGGCCGTTGTCTGCCTTTATGGCTATCTGCTCTTCGGGTGCTCTGCAGTTCCAATGCACTTGGCAATTCAGCCTGTAAATACCCCTCTCCGGGATTTATGATTCGGGATAATGTGATTTTTCTCTTTGCCTCTGGATTCGTTTGTTTGGTTTAGTTTAACGACATTTCCTTGTCTGTGCATAAGTGAGGGCACGCAGGGAATTTTTTTCCCCTCCCCTCTTTGCAGGGATCTATTAGCAATGAGCAAAAATGGCTTTTTTAGGGAGCTGATGGACACGCCGGGGGGGCCAAAGCCAGTCCTGAATCCCTGATGAGCAACCCCAGTCATCACAAACCATCTATTTTTTCCTACAGAAAGCTTGTTTTTGAGGTTTTATCGAGAAAGCAGCTTTCCACCAAAGCAAAGCCAAGCCCTTTCCATGATGTTTGAGGGCTACTTCATCAGGGAGAGGCAGCAGGAGGCACAGTCCAGTATGGAAAAGCTGTTTGCTTCCCAAAATGAGGCTCGAGAAGCCAAATGAGATGTTTGAAAAACTGGGAGTGCTGCGGCTGGAATCCCATTCCCATCAGACTTGATTTTTCCCCTGCAAGCTCCAGTTTGGGAGTTAAAGGAATAATATATAAAACCTTGGGTGTTGAACAATGTTTGTCATGTCCCAGGTGCTGTAGGAAAGGATGGTGCTTGAGATGGGGCAAAAAGGCAGGAAAATCCCTTTAAGGCAAATACAGGGACTCGCAGGGGATGTGGCACCGGTCCTGTGTTTTCCCTGTCCCTGAAGGGGGAGAGAGCTGGGAAACACAAAGATGATGGGTTTGGGGTACTCTTGCAGAAATTCTGCTCCCTGGACCTGGGCTTCCCTTTCCTTCTGGCAGAATGGCAAGGCCAGTTGCTCATCCCAATGGATGGTGTGTGATTTCAGTCCATTTAAACCACCACGGAGAGGTCGTGTTTATACACCAAGTGCGTGGGGTAATGGCACCTGTAATTAAAAACGTTCTCCCAAGTGAAATAAAAACTCACTGTGGTGGAAAGCTCTTGGCTGCTCCTCCTTGGCTCTCCAGGACAAGGTGCAATCTGGATTTTGGTGATGCAGGGCTGGGAATCATCCATCACTGGGACCCTCTCCACCCAGGGATGTCACTGGGGAAGCAGAGATGCAGGTAAATCCCCCATCACAGGCCCTGGGCTTGTTTTTCCTAAGAAACTCTGAATTTCACACAAATACAAGGAGCTGGGATGCAGCAGAGAGATCCCTGAAAGTGAATCTGGGAATATGGAGAGCCAGAGCTGGGCTCACGAGGGGTGTGGGGCTGAGGTGACCCCAGCACCGACCCTGGATGAGGGCAGCTCCCTGTGCAGAGTTCCAGAGGCAGGGAAGCACCTTCTTGAATATCCAGAGGAGGCTCTGGGGTGAATTTTAATTTCTTTTCATTTTTGTTGTTGATTTTTAGAGTGCTTGGCACCTCCTGCCTCTTTTTCATTCCTTTCCTCCTTGATTCCGTCCAAATGAGCAGGAAGCAAGGCTGCTGACCATGGATCTTCCCAGCAATGCCGTTGCTGTCCTGTCCATCCCGAGGAAAGGGTGAAGTCTGGCATCCATCTGCGGCTGAGCCAGTGCATCCATGAGGTGAGAGTGGCCACCGGCAGCTCCAGGGAAGAGGTGAGGGGGATTTATGGAATTTCATATCAGCTCTATCTGTGATTGGGTTCATCTCGGTGGGGTCAGCTGGGATGGAGGTTTGGATGCTGAGGGGCATTGCGGCCAAGGAGGCTTTTAGGGAAGGGAAAGGAGGGAAGGAAGTGGTGTCCGGGACTGCTAGGGAGCCCTCCTCGATGTCCCCATGGAACAGGACACGATCCCCGGCAGCCGTGTCTCCGACCTCATCCCTATTGCCGTGCGTCGGGAGAGGGCGGCCGCGGCCGGGGCCCCGCGCTGAGCCGCTGCCGAGCAGGGATTTGCAGCTGAACTCTGCCCACAAAGTCGCTCCCAGCCTTTTCTCATTTCTTTCTGGATTTAAGGCAGCTTCCAAATTCCTGCGCAGCCAAATCCTGCCTTAGGGCTGCCAGGAAACACGGCCAGCAACAAGTACGTGCCGTTTCTGTACCCACAACACAGCCAGGGTTGCTGTTATTGTGCGGGTGGTGATGACGGGACGGAGCTCCAGTCCTCCCGAGGGTGCGATCCCGTCCCTTCCCAGGCTGCCGCGGGCACCCTGCCCTGGGCGCTGCCTCGTGGCTGCGGCGTCGCCTCCCCCTCATCGCCGCCCTTTTAAAAACCAGAAAAGATACTCCACCCCACCCCAGTTTCCCTAAACTTCACCCGCCGCCCTCCCCGTAACCTCCCACCCAGCGCATGGAAGCTTTATCCACTCCCACTGGGATTTACGGTCCCAGGGACTTCCTGCGCTGCCTGTCATCGCACTCGCCCCTTCCCGCCACCGATAAATCAAACCTGTTTGTTTTGTGCTGCTCCTTCACCAGTTCTTTATTTATTTGTGCTTCTGTCGCTGCCTCCCTCCGTCCCTGAGGGCTTTAGGGGACACCGGAGGCGAAGGGGACAGCGGCAGAGCAATGAAGTGCCCCGAGGCCATGGTGAAGGGCACACGTTGGGTCTCCATGTGCACTGTTGCTTCAGGGAAAGGGAGGTCAGGAAAATCCTGCACTGCTCATACAGACTAAACCCCACTTGCCATGTCTAAACACCACCAGGATGCATCCCCACATCCTGAGACCCTCCAACGCTTGGGGATTCCATTGAATCCATCCCAGTGTGACCCCAGAGCAGCCTGAGGAAAGCTGGGGGCTGAGAGCGGTGCAGTGAGCGGGGCTGCACATGCAGCATCCCCACACCAAACATCCTCCCAGCCGTGGTGGGGATGAGGAGCCAGCTCTGGCCAAGCCCACCCATGGGATGCCTGATCTGGTCTTTCCACTGGTGACTCATGGAAAAACTACTTGTTTTGCAGCGGCGCTCGGAATGCCGGGTGATTCTGCCTCTGTGCCTCGCTCGCCTGTCTCTTTTTTTTTTTGGAGGATCATTGGTATGAAAACATTTGGGACCCCGACCTTCCTGCAGAGCTCACCTGAAGGCATTTTCCCCCCTGGATGCGTGCAGGGCTGGCTGTGCAAACCACGCTGCCTGGGAGGCGGCCTGGTCACGCTCCCAGGGTTGAATTTTTTGGGGATTAGTATTTTCGAGCGGCTCTTATACAACGGCGGAGGAGGCTTGGAGGGTTTCCACCAGCTCCTTGCGTGCCGGTTTTGGCACGTCTGCCAGTGCTGCCGGCTGCACGGGGCCCCCCAAGGCTCTCCATGAGGTTTGTGGCACAACCTGGGGTGACAGGGCTGGGGACTCAGCCTGGCTTGGTCTGAGTGTCCCCACTGTCCCCAAGGCCAGGCAGGACAGGGAGAAGTGAGACCTCACTGGCTTCTTACTGCCTTGCAGGGAGCCAGCAGGATCCACTGGTAGATTTGGGTTGGAACAGTCAAAAATGGGAATGATGCTGATTTATGTGTCAGGTCCCCAGCACTGCGCTGCTTCCCACATACTGACCTTTCACCTCTTTTTCCCCAAATCCTTCAGAAGGCAGGGATGGAGCACAGCCCTTTCCCAGTGGGACCAGCACATCCCAGACCCAGCTGGTTACAGAAGGAGTCTGGGCCAGCTCTGTATTTAACTGAATTTGCTTTTTTTACCACTTTTTCTTGGAAACCGGCATGGAGAAGGATGTTCCTTGGTGCTCATCCCTGTTTATCAAACCTTCACCCTCTCCTTGCAGAGCACTGACCGTGCCACTGCTCTCTGGAAAGCACATTAGTAATTTTTTTCTGAGGGGGGGGTAATGGTTTGGTTTGGATTCTGGGATGGAAAATCATTTCCAACCCCCAAATTAGAAACAGAATAATAATAAAGCATGTTGTTTTGGAGGGGACGGTGTGTGTCATCCCACAGCAATGAGAAACTTGTGCTGGAGAGGAGCAAAGAGCTGTGATTTATTTTTTTAACGCTCCCCAAAGGACTGACGTGGCTCTGGGATGCTGCTCCCACTCTCTCGTACCCGTGGACGGGAATGGCATGGTCGCTGTGGGCAGGGGACACCCATGGGTGGGTGTCCTTACCAGGGGTGGGGGGCTCTATCACCCTGTTTTGTTGTCCTTATGCTTGGTTTCGTGGAGGAAAGGGGATTGTGCCGTGTGGTTTTCTGTCCTGCCCTTCCCCAAGGAGTTGGGATGGAGAGCTGATGTTCAGGGATGGGACAAGAGCCAATATTTTGCCATGCTGGGCTGGGGGGAGGCATGAGCAGGTGATGCTTTCTCCTTGGGATTTTATTTTTTCAGTGTGGTGGATTAGAGTGATTTCACTGTGGATTGCTCTCTCTATGGTCTCTCTCCTCCAAAAAACATCAGGTCCTATGAAAACTGGGTCAGACTCTTGGAATTGGAAGTCATGCTGGGACAGTAGCTAGTCCTGCCTGGGATGGGTTCATCCCTGTGTCACACAGCATTGCCAAAAAACCCTTAAAAATAACATATTTTAAAAATTGCAAGTGGTTCTCCCCACTCATGGGAGCAGTGACTACTCAGGGGGCCAAAACCCAGCGCAAAGGCTGAATTCCTGTGTAGAGGAGCCTTCGTTCCACTATATTTCTCTCCCTATTGGGTCTAACATCTTGTACACCCAAAACCTGTGCTGGAGCTGGGGTGTCCAGTCTGCCTTTGGGGTGCCCCCAGGCTGGGTTTTGGGGTGAGTGTTCCTGGGATTTAATAAGACACTTATCGTATGTTAAATATCAAGGGCTGATAGGAAACATGTGTCCTGAGGATTAACAGCCGTGTAAAAGATAAAGCCCTGAGTTAAACCCCCAAACAGTGTGTTTCAAATAACCCTCCGTGGCTGCAAAATGGGGTAACCAGGAGTGGGATGGGGAAGGTACAATGTGTATCACAGATCACAGCTCCCCAAAATCCTTGGGATGGGGTTGGGACTGGGTTTTCTCCCAGCAAGGTGATGCCCAGGGATGCCAGATAGCACAGGGGTGACGTCAGCTCCTTCTTCCCCCATTTCTTCCTCTCTTTCCACCTCTTCCCCTTCTTGTAATGTTTTTTTCTTTTTTTTTTTTCCCAGGCCCCAATTTCTCCCCTGTCGAGGCAAACGCTTTGGCTAATTAGCAAAACGTGTCAAAGAAAATGATTAATGTCCCGGGAGGAGGCTGAGCTGCCTTTGTGCTGGCATTGCCTGACTTCTGCTCTTAAAGGTTTTATTAAAAGATAAGGGAGCTCGTGACGGGTGAGCAAAGCATGTGCTTCCCTGGGTGTTAAAGGGTCGGAGAAGGGGGGGATGTGGGGCAGATCGGGGTCACCCTCGGAGGGAGAGGTGAGGGCTCGTGTTTCTCTGCCTCTGTGCTCGACCGTCACCGTGGTGTCTGGCCTTGGCAGGGGAAAGGACTTTAAAAAAATGGCTGAATGCCTCCTTTATTCTTCCAGGGGCAGGTAATTCAATCTCGCCAGCCAGGTTATGAATGTTGCTGTGTTACAGGGTTCTGTGTGCTCGGGGGCTTCAGGGGGTCCCAGGGAGGGGATGCTCAGGGTGGGCATCCCAAGTTGTGGTGCTGGGGCACTGGAGATTGGGCACAGCCGGGCTCCTGCCCAGGGCAGAGGTGGCAGCAGGGCAGCAGAGGTGCTCAGGCACGTGTTTGCTGGACTCTGTGGACACAGAGGTGCCCATGGCTGGGCTTGAGCCCTGTGGGACATCCCTGACGCTGTTTGCTGTGGGCTGAAACCCTCCATCCCAGCTCCCACCTGGGGATCCTGGGGCTGGGTGGGCAGCAGAGGCACAGGAGGGAATCTGAGGCATGGTCCCACTGGGCTCCTGCCAGGACCACTGTACGCAGCATCCAACTGTCGTCAGCTCTCTGGGTCTGGGCATGTTTTCAGCAACTTCCAAAGCACAGCCAATTCAGCAGCCCCCAAAATATTACTCCCTGCAATCTGAACCCCTGCAACTCCCCCCCCCAAACCAGCAGCCCCTTGCAGAAGGGTCTTACAAAAGGCAAAATCTACCCGGCAGCTGCCACTGCAGGGTCCCACAAACCAGAGCAGGCAGTGCCACGGCATCGCCGTGCCATGCCAAAATCCCAGACAGGATATCGACCCTGGGAGCAGGGAGAGGACGAGGGCGGTGGGACCTTCTCCACCAGCACACTGGTTATTTTATTATGTCATGAGCGATTCCCAAACCCAGCAGACATTTGTCTGCAGCCACAGAGGCCTGAGCCACTCGGTGCATGTCAGAGGGGTTTTGGGAGGGGGCACAGCTGGCAGGAGCCTCGGAGGGGGGGCTGCAGGAGCTGCTCCGTGAGGTTTTCCTCCAGCAAACAGACCTCTGGGCTTAATAAGCTATTTGTAAAACTGGCTGTGGATAAACAAGAGGCCGTGTGTGAGGCTGGAGGCGGCCTCGCAGGGCTCCGCCGCACGGGGTGGGACCTCAGCACAGAAATATTTTCAAGATAAACAGAGGAAAATGAGTCCTGGAGGAGGCTGGAGCCACTGGCAGCAGCACACAGCTCCTCTCCGACATATTTCGGGGCAGGAACTTGGCTTTCTGCAGCGCTGCAGCTGAAAGATCCCTTTTTTTTTTCTTTTTTTTTTTTTTGCCTTTGAAGGGAACCTCTCGTGCTGCTGATTCAGAAATAAACCTGAGGAGTGGTTGGCAGTGAAGGCAGCGGTGAGGAGACGTGCAGAGCCCGGGGCTTGCAGAGGAGTTCTGGGGTGAGGGCGAGGAGCTGGGATGGAGGGCTGCTGGTGCAGGTCCTCCTCGGGCAGAGCTGCCTTCCCTGAGGGACCCCTGGGCTGAGGTGGCAATATTGGGAGTTGGGGTTGTTCAGCCTGGAGAGGAGAAAGCTCTGGGGAGACCTTAAAGCCCCTTGCAGTGCCTAAAGGGGCTCCAGGAGAGCTGGAGAGGGACTTGGACAAGGGTCTGGAAGGACAGGAAAAGGGAGAATGGCTTCCCAGTGCCAGAGGGCAGCGTTAGATGGGATACTGGGGAGAAATTCCTCCCTGTGAGGGTGGCGAGGCACTTACACAGGTTCCCCAGAGAAGCTGTGGCTGCCTCATCCCTGGGACTGTTTAAAGCCAGGTTGGATGGGACTTGGAGCAACCTGGGATAGTGGAAGGTGTCCCTGCCCATGGGACACCTTGAAGTAGTCTTTATGGTCCCTTCCAACCCAACCCATTCTGTGATTTCATGGCTCCAACAAGAGCAGCAGAGCCTCCTTGCCTGGCTGCTGGTGCCCCCATCAGCTCCTCCTTTCCCCAGCACAGGCAGAGGCAGTACAGGGGTGCCCAGGGCAGGATATGGGCATTGCCCTGCCCTCTGCCAGGATGGAGCTCAGGAAACGGGCTGGGCTCCATCCTTCTATCCCTTCTACCCCTCTTCATCCTCTCTACCCCCTCCATTCCTCCATCCCACCATCCCTCCATCCCTGGGCCATGTGCTTTGGCACTGGTTTCCTTCTTCCCTATTCTGTGCTTGGTCTGGAAACTGCAGCCGGGGCTGGGTTTGCTTGGGGCTGAGCTCAGCTTGGGGCACCGGGGCTGGGACCCGCCGCAGCCTCGGCAGCCGAGATCTCCCGGTGTATCTCTCCCTCTCTTCCCCACCCCCAGCAAATTTAATTAAAAGTCATTCAGATTCCTTTGAAAGAAAATGTCATCCGTCGACACAATTACACTTTAACTAACCAAAGCTGTTACAGTTCCTATATATATTGGAATCAGGCTGTCGTTATTAGTTCTAAGTAAGTAATTTATTCCCATTATTGTGTTCAAATTACAGGATATTACCCCCTGGGGAAATAATCCTGTTATTTGAAATGTAAAAAAGAATTCACATGGACAACAATAGATTCTTAAATGAACCCAACAACAGTCCCCAGTCCCAGTGCGGCATCACTTGACTCAGATAGGAAAATATAAAGTTTCTTTTAAAAAGGTTTCTTTTCTCCTCTCTTTCCTTTCTCTTGCTCCAGTGGAGGTAAATCGAGCTTCTCCTCTTCTTCATAAGCCTCAATTTATTGAGGGAATCCTGGATGTGAAGGAATTTTGTGGGGAGCATGGGGGAGTTGGGGCAGATATATATATATATATATGTATATATGGGTGTCCATCCTTACTGTGGGGGTGGGAGCCCCTGGATGGTGGGATGCAAGTGCCTGGCACAGCTCAGGGGGGGTTTCTGGTGGAGCTGGGAACCATTGGCTTCCTCCAGCAAAGAGCTGCTGAGGATCCTTGGAAACATTGTTCCCTTGATCAAGATCTTCAGTGCAGGCAAATAACAGCTCGTCTCTGCAACACCCAAACATAAGCAAGTAATTTGGACCAACGAAAGGAAAAAGGGGGAGGGGAAAGAAAAAAAGAAAAAAAAAGAAGAGAGAGAAAGAGGAGGAAGAGGGAGGGGAGGGAAGAAAATCAGATACACTTGTAACCTGATTACAACAGCCAGCTATGTGTGCAAAATCACAATGCAGCTCTATAATTAAATCTCTCTTTCCCCCTCCTGCCGAGCTCTTTCCTCTAACAGGCACGGTACAAAAACAGTCGTTAGGACATCAAATTCCAGCTCCGACAAGAGGGGGCTTTTTTGTCTATAGCTGCTCGGCTCGTCTTTAAGGAAATAATAATTATAAGCCCAGAGCCGCTAGCTGACGAGCTTTGTGGAGCAGAAAGGGCTTGTTTTGTCCAACCGCCCCTTCCCCCTTGCAGAGGACTGGGGTGATGGGAAAAGAGATGGGATAGCCCTGGGAGCCAGCCATGGACACCCCTCCTTGTGCTGGGGCTTGGGGGGGAAACGTTGGGGTCTGACAAGATGCTCGGAGCCACAGATACTTCTTCCCCTCCTGCCCTGCTGAATCCATCTCACGTGTTTTAGCAGTTTGGTACCCGGTGCAGGCACTCCCAGCTGGGTTTGGTTGTTTGGGGGTGCATAAAGTACCCGTGAGGAGCCAGCAGCTTCCTGGACTCGGGGAAAACTCTTGCCACAACACCAAGGGCTTCTCCTCTGCCTGGCACTTGGCTGTTCCATAGGGCAGTCCCAGGGTGATGGAGGGATGCTGTGGATGGGGCTGATTCAACAGACCCCAAAGACAGCAGGGAAGGGACTCCCCCAGAGTGGTGGCTACAGGGAGGGCAGTGCTGGCAGCCTTGCCCCAGCCCTGCCTGTTGATGACTTTGATTTACTCCCGTTTGTCACAGCGGGCTATTCCCATCCCTGTGACACCCAGCACGTGCTTTTCCTGGCAGCTGCGGGCCGGATTCAGCCTTAGGGACCCAGTTCCTTGCGGGCAGGTTCCTGCTTGCTTCTTCGGGGTATTTTTGGGAACGGGTTTTGCATCCCATCTACTTCTCTGCTGCGAGTCAGGGAGGGGGTGTTGGAGTTCCGTGCAGTGACGGTAGGTCTGGTGCTAAGGACTCACAGCATGGTGGGGAGGGGGAAGGAAAGAGCCTGGCATCAGGAGACCCCAAAATGGGTCCCAGTGTGCAGGATGACTACCAGAGAGGCAGGATTTATCCGTCACACCTTGTCGAGGCAGCTGGCACGTGCCAGAGAGCACAACTGAGGGCGGGCACAGGCTTTGCAACACGACATGGAAATTCGGACGCTGTTCCAATAAAGCTGTGCATGTTTGGGTTTAATGGCAATTAACAGCTGTTAAAAGGTGAAAGATCTACTCTGCTAACACCTAGTGCTTCTGGTGCCTCTCATGAAGGGATTTGAAAATACATTTTCGAGTGTTAATTTTAAGCCACGATAATGCACCCCTGGGAGGTGGATGGGTTTACCCTGTTTTCAGAAGGGGAAGCTGAAGCAGGACAGGGCACGGTGTGGGGACGGGCATTCAATGCCTGCAGTGGTGGTGAAATCCATGCCTGGCTCTGGAAGAGGGATGGGACTAAACCAGGGACCAGCTGGCAACATCAGCAGTTTTCACCAGCATTCCCCAGGTCTTTTATTTTGGGGGGAGATTAACTCGGTGCAAAACCAAAGGCACTCACGAGCTTAACCTTAAGCAGGACCCTCGTGCTGGGGGGGCTCGTAGGAAATCGTCTTTCCCTGGGAGATGCTGCGAATCTGGATTTTCCAGTTCCTGGAGGGCTCTGCTTGTTTAAATTAGAAGCAGATAGGAGAGGTGAATTTTAAGAAGGACAGAGCAAAGGCACACAAGTATGCAGTTAACTTCTAAACTTCTTTCTCTGGCTCTCCCGCTGAGTAAATGCTTTAGGAGCTTCAAACCACAGCTTTTAATATCTCCTTAACATGCCCCACGATTCCTTCCCCCCTGTCAAAAAGGCGAGAGCAGCTGTGAATATTTTCCATTTTAAAATGTTTTGTATGCATACGAAAGTACCTGCAGCTCCTGTGGGCCGGGCTACGGAGAACTGCTGAAGCCAAGGGTATCTATTTTATATTGAACCTCAAAATAGCACATGCTCCTGCCTCTCGCTCGCCCGTGTCCTGCATCCAGGAGGGTATTTTTGATACAGCTGGCAGATCAAGGGAAAAATCCCCAATTTACTCTGTTGATGTAGAAGGTCTTGTCATTCGGGGCTCAGCGTTCCTGTTCACCTGGGTGGAGGATTGTTTTAAACTCTTGAATGCAGAACGTGTAATACTGGGCTGTTATATGGGGACTGCAGTTTTGGGGAGGTTTCCCATGCATGTTCCTCCACTAAACCACGTTTTTTCCACCGAAAGGTGTAGCTGCCGTTTCTGTGCCTTACGACCAATTTAGCAGCTGGTTTGTAGCCAAAAAACACAGGCAGTAATTACAGCTTTGGGGTTCGTGCTCCTCTCAAAGCTCTCTATGGGTTGTGCAGGTCAGCCCTCCTCCTTGCCTATTTTTTCCCCCTGATCTTCGATGAAAAAAGCTTATTATTGTGTAAAAGGGGGAAAAAAAGCCAAACCCAACCTGATGTATCCAAGATCCAGTTTAACTGTGACAAAATCCCGGTACCAGGGGTTTGGTGAAGGTTATGAAAAGCAAAGGGCACCCAGCACTGGGGAGGTCCTGGCACCAGGGGTCCCAGTTTGGGATTTTGAGGGGAAAGGGAGCGTGCAGGTGGCAGAGCAGGAAAACAGGATAGGATTGTGCCTACACACCCACCCTCCTGTGCTGGACAAGGCTAAAAAATGACATCAGACTTTATTTGGACTTGAAAACCAGACTGTGATTTCGGGGATGTTCGGCTTTACAAACCCCGGAACTGTGGGGATCAGAACTGCTGTGAACTGGGGAGAGGGGGGCACCAACCACATCCCTGTGCACCCCCCAGCCCTTCTCCCTTCTTCCGTGCTCCGGTGGGGCAATGGAAGCGGAGCTGGGACGGTGGGAGGATGCTGCAGCCTCCAGCTGCTGCCCAGTTTGAGTATAGGCCCTGGGGGGGGAGTGGAGAATTTCTTGGGCTCCCCCCAACCGATGCAAAGCCCACAGCCAGGCTGAGCGCAGGGGTTTATAATCAGCCAGGATTTATGGAGAAAAACAAAATCCCGAGCTGTTCTGGTCATTAATCAGAAATTCCTCGCTCGGTTCCCGAGCTGTTTCCCTGGGGATCTTCTCATGGGGACCCTCTACTCCACAGCCCCCCCTCCCCGTGGATGGCAGCTCTTTCCTTGCAGGCAAGGGGCTGGGGTGGGGAGAGACCCCAAGCTTTGGAATTAACCAAACCCCCGACGATGAATAAATCCCCATGAATTCGCTGGAGTAAACCCCAGCAGGGACCCCCTTGCCTTCAGATCCCACCTCTGTCCCCACAGCATTTTATTAGGGGTTTTTATCTGGGGGTTTTCTTTGGGGGGGATGGGACCCTGCTGTCGGACTTGGTTCTGCTTTTAAGATGTGGGGAAGGAATGAAATCAGGGCAAAGCTTTTTTGCCGACGCGTTGGGATCGTCGCCGTCCGTGTTTTAATGTGATTTATGCCTGGATTTCTAAATCCAGCCACTGACTGCACGCTTTAAATATAGCTCCAAAAACACCCTGGAAACGTGTAGTAAGCACGTTAAAAACGGCGGGCGGAAGGGATGCACAGCACCCCCCCCGGCTGTGGATGGGGAGCACGGGGGGGTTTACTGGGGTAAAAAGGGGATTTTGGGGGGGTCCCAGAAGATGGGGATGGGGGTCCAGCGGGGGTTTGTGCCCAGCCCGCGGGTGCGAAGTTGAGCGCTGGGTTGGCGATGAGGGGGTGTGTCCCCCCTCCCCCAAACCTTGGCAGCCCCCCAAAACGGGGTTGGGAGGTATCAGTTTGCTTTGCCTCCCACGTTTCCAGACAGTCCCCCGTTCCATCCCAGATTCCCACCCCCCCTGTCCTACCTGAATGCCGGGAAGGGGGACAATGCCCGGTGCAGGGCTGGGGGCTGTGAGCTCCGCAGGGCTCCACTGCCTCCTGCGGGGACGGAGGGCGGCCATAGGGAATTTCGTGTTCGTCCGGGGGGCGAAGAGAGGAAACAAATGGAAAAAAAAAGAGGG